TCCTTAGCCAGCGCCATCCCTCCACCTCCCACCCAGCCAGCACCTGCACCCCCTCATGTCCTCAGTCAGCGCCATCCCTCCACCTCCCACCCAGCCAGCGCTCCCTCACATCCTTAACCATCACCATCACCCCCTGACATCCTCAGTCAGCACCATCCCTCCACCTCCCACCCAGCCAGCGCTCCCTCACGTCCTCAACCATCACCATCACCCCCTGACATCCTCAGTCAGCGCCATCCCTCCACCTCCCACCCAGCCAGGCCGGCACCCCCTCACATCCTTAGCCATCACCATCGCCCCCTGTCCTCAGCCAGCACCATCCCTCCAGCTTCCAGCCAGGCAATGCCTGCACCCCCTCACGTCTTTAGCCAGCGCCATTCCTCCACTTCCCACCCAGCCAGCACCTGTGCCCCCTCATGTCCTCAGCCAGCGCCATCCCTCCACCTCCCACCCAGCCAGCGCTCCCTCATGTCCTTAGCCAGCGCCTGCACCCCCTCACGTCCTCAGTCAGACCATCCCTCCACCTCCCCCCCACCCAGCACCAGTGCCCCCTCACATCCTGAGCCAGCAATAGTAGTCACAATCGTCCTCAGCCAGCGCCATCCCTCCACCTCCCACCCAGCCAGCGCTCCCTCATGTCCTTAGCCAGCGCCTGCACCCCCTCACGTCCTCAGTCAGACCATCCCTCCACCTCCCACCCACCCAGCACCAGTGCCCCCTCACATCATGAGCCAGCAATAGTAGTCACAATCATTTAACACAGCCGTGCAGAGTCATCACATAGATCTACCAGCATAGCCAAGGTGGGCTAGTGGATTGTTTCCTGGGGTTTTGCATTTTTGTGGCTCTTTTGTGAAGCGTTTTTAGTTTGTGTTGAAATCTGCTCCTTCCCCCCCATCTCTCAGACAAATTACGTGTGGTCCTTTCTGAAAATCTGTTTTCTAATCTATGTGATATTACTGTTTTTTAACTCCAACTGTTCCTTTCGCATTGAGCTTGTCCTAGTGTGTTGATAATCGTGTTTATGATAGAAATCAATATATAATTTGAAAACATATTGGTAACAGCCCAATTTCCATTTTCTGCTTATGTTTTTTTACCCCTCCAATCCGTCCCACAATCCCAAGCAGAGCCCCTTTGGCCGTTTTTCTTGCTATACTCTTTGTTTCTCAGAGGAACTGTCCTCTGCTCTACATGAAGTGTGAGGTGTGGAACAGTTCCTCGTCTTCTTCCACGTAGACATGCACACATATGGATTTTTTTAATACTTCCTCCTGTTGCACCCTATTCAGTAGGTTCCTTCATTCTCTAAATTTCCTTCCCTGAAATCCAATAGTCATGTACTGCTTTATTCTGTGCTCCACCCTTTACCAATCTGAATCCAAGTAGCCTGTAATCATAGGTTCAAATTTCCTTATTATTCTTGTATTCCCAGCTGGTTCCTCTCTGTTGATAAGAAGTAGAGCTATGTTGGATTCCCTGTCATAAAGCTGTTTTCTGATTTACCTGGGAACATCTTTGGTACCCATGCCTGGGTGTTTGTCACGCAACAGATGATACTTGGGTAGTTGCCATCCACCTAGACCATGGGTCTGAGTACTTCAAATTTGTCCAGGAATGTTTCATTGTCTGTTTCCTCCAGTCCTGGTGGTCTATAGCAGCTGTTCACTGCAGTTTCTTCTCTAACTGACATTAGCACTTGCTTATAGCACAGATATCTGTAATAAGAATGTCCCCCAGGGATGCAATGTTGCTGTTTTCCTTTCCTTTGCATTATATCTTGTCCTCTGATTCCAGTACCTGGTAATAAATCTCCTCTCCATGCCTTGCTCCTGTACTGCAGGTCTGTACAACTCCATGGATAGCTGGATGATTGTCCCCAACATCAAACAGAACCACTACACCGTGCACGGGCTCCAGAGTGGCACCAGATACATCTTCCTTGTCAAGGCCATAAACCAAGCTGGCAGCCGGAACAGCGAACCTGCCAGGCTCAAGACAAACAGTATGTGCCAGGGCTTTTTTTTTCAGGTTGGGTGGGAAGTAGAAAAGCAGGTTTATCAATCTTGGAGTTTAAAAGGATATTGCTGAGATTTTCTTTAACTCTTTAATTGCTGGGGCTTATAACCATCCTTTGGAAACTTGACATCTTTGTTGTTTCCTTGCTTGACTTGTTTTTTCTTCCCATCATGCTCACAAAGGCCAGATTGCACATGAGCCCTGGGCATTGCATGCTAGCTGGTGTCTCTAGGGTTGCCTCAGAATGCTAAGCTGTGTCCATGTTGCTTGTTGGGTAGGGTTTGTTATTGTAGGGTTATTCATGAGCTCCTTTATGCAAACACGTCTGTCTCTACTGTTCCCTCGTCCCCAGTCCCTTCCCCTCCATTCAGCTGTTGCATACTGTCTAAATCCTAGGCTCTGGGGCAGGGACTGTTTGGGCAAATGTTCAGGTCAGTTCATATCCACTCTGAATCCACTTCTCCAAATCATATCCAGAAATCTGGCTTGGTCAAGAAGCGAAAGTAGCAGAAATCTGGTTGCACAACCTGTTCTTAATGAGCATTCCACATTTTTGGTGCTTAATAAAGTCAAACCTCTTGAAATTGACCTCTCACGTACTTCTGAGCACTGAGCTTGGTGTCTACTGGTTTGTTAAGAGAGGGTCACTCGTGTGAACTAGACAGCTCACTGGCTTATTATTGTGGGGTTATTTGGGAGGACTGTGAGGCATGTGCTAGTTTGTTATCATAGGGTTATTAGGAAAAGAAACCTGAAAAGCATCTATATGGAAAATGTCATGGGCTTTGCCAACAAACATGAGAAAAAAGTTAGTTCAGACTTTGGTTCTCCCAATCTAAATTCCCTCAGAGGGGAGGGAAAGAGTTAAAGACATTCTAAAAATGGGAGCGGGATCAGACAACAGGCTCATTGACTTCAAAGGGAACAGGATTGGATCCACTCTGGCCATGGAGTAGAACATGATATGTGGAGGATTTATACCTCATTTCCCGTTAGCTCAGTAACACATCTGGGATGATTATTTCCCTCTTAGTGATGATTTGTAATAAAAAAAAAAAGGTAAAAATATCGGAATGGGCAGTCGGTATCCAAAGTAGTTGCAAGTGGCTTGTCTCTTGGCTTTTGTCCAGCGGTGGCCATGTCTTGTTGATGATTATAAGATTCCTCTGTCTGGTCCTGACGTGCCCAGAGTTCTTTTTTGTTCCCTTTTCTTGATGTTTCAATCATGTCTGAATTCTGCACTTGAGTAGGCTTTTGAATTGATTTATTGCTTCTACCGCCTCAATCTTTTCATGAAACTGTGGCAACTTTAAATACAATTAAATTAAATAAAGTCCATACATTGGAGAGAATGGATAGAAGCTGATGAAAAACAAACTCCAATCTAATTCTCTTTTGTTTATTAAAAATGTATCCCTCCCTCCAATGCTGTTTAAAAGCACGCTCCCTGCTTTGAAATACACTCAAGATGGAAATAAGAAATTGGTGACTTGACAGGCCAAGAGCTGATATGACAAACCTACTCAGAAGAAAGGAAAATAGGTTAGTTTCAGTAGCTCCCTGGGGAGGTTGCAACTTGTTATTTTATTCAGTGTCAGTCATCAGAGATATTAGCGCGCTGCTAAGTGTGGTGCTTTACAGACAAACCTGATTTACTGAAATATATACGGGATCAAATTTTTAATTCTGATTGTTCACTGTCTCTAGCAGCTTCCTAATTTGTCAAACTGTAAAGCAGGAATTGCATAAAGTGCTATAAGAAGTGCTCAACGTTACTGATATGCATATTACAAAATGAATCTCTAACATTGGGATTGTATGATCATTTAAATAATCATTGCATCCCCAACCCAGCAGAAGGATAAGAGAACAGCTAAATTAACATTAAAACATTATTTGCATATGTTGTTACAATATCTGTATGGAGCCAACCTTATCCTCAGTGTCACCTTGAGACTTCAACTGTAACTACCTGTTTCCACATGTTCAAAACTTGAACGTCTCCCTGTTGGTTAACGTGCTCTGTGCTTGATGTCCGTCAGTCCCAATTTTTGGAAAGTTTGAGCAAACTGTGTCTACCTCATTTTGAGTAAGTTCAGGATGATGATTTAATGAAAGCGCTGCCGCTTGAGAGCCAGGTTACGTCTGCTGAGAGGCGGGAGAGCCTAAGCACCTCATTAGCACGATGAGGATTGCACATGTCTCTTCAGACAGTCTGTGCTCCTCTCTACCTTTCATTACTCTGCATCCTTGAGAGCAAGGCAACAGGCATTCGGGGGACTTTGAACTTCCCTGTGCGAGTGCCGGACTGCCCCTAGCATGGAACTTGATTTGCAGCCACGTTCGGTCTCCCCTGGAGTGCAGCAGTCACCCTTCAATCCCCCTCTAATTCCCTCTTCTTGTATGTTAATCTCTGCTCCGGTCCTTATATCCGCGGGCACAGGGAAAAGAGTGGACTGAGTTCTCTTCTAGTGGCTGCTAGTTGAGCACTGAGAGGCGAGGATCCCACCAGCCTGGTATACAGATCTAGAGAAGAAAGAGCAACATATTAACCATGGAAAATGTATTCTGATAGGCAGGGCTGGGAGCGCTGCCTGCCATGAAGGTTGCTCGACACTTCTCGTTATAAGACCCTCTTTTCAGCTGCTTTTAACTTTGCCAAACTTTGACCATTTGGGTTGAAATTTCTCATGTCATGTGTCTGGCTCAGGCTGAATTTTTTTTTCTCCTTTTATGAAATATTTCACCGAAAAAGTCCAGCATTTCCGAGAAGGAGGCTGGGGGGAAATAAGTTGTTTTGCCCATGTGAAAACATTCTGGCAGCCTTTCCCTGGAGATGTCTAGGCTTTGGAGCTGGGACTTACCATTTACTAGGAGTAGCCTTTGTGTCAGGGCTGTGCTTTTTGATGTTCCCTGTGAAAATCCACCCAAATGTGGTGTGACAGACCCAGACCAGTGGGAGTCTGGTAGAGGGCAAATATACTGGTCACTGGATGAGTAGTTTTCTGTTCCCTGAGTGACCAGAGAAGGGGCTGCACTAGAGTAATCAGGAACCTGCTAGAACCAGTTAAGGCAGGCAGGCTAATTAGGACACCTGGAGCCAATTAAGAAGAAGCTGCTAGAATCAATTAAGGCAGGCTAATCAGGGCACCTGGGTTTTAAAAGGAGCTCACTTCAGTTTGTGGTGCGAGTGTGAGGAGCTGGGAGCAAGAGGCACAAGGAGCTGAGAGTGAGAGGGTGTGCTGCTGGAGGAGTGAGGAGTACAAGCGTTATCAGACACCAGGAGGAAGGTCCTGTGGTGTGAATAAGGAAGGTGTTTGGAGGAGGCCATGGGGAAGTAGCCCAGGGA